ATAGTTAAATATTATGTTTTACTTTCAATAGATATATATACATTTTCATCAAGTAATTTATATTTGTTCAAATAATTTCATCATATATTTTCGTAGTTGAAATCATGAGTCGATTGAAACTAGATCACCAAGGAAAACCTGGAAGCACTGGACGAACAACTGATGAACGGTTGCTCAGCTTCGTGGATTGGTTGAAGTTAGACATTAACATCATGGTATGCTGCTTCAGTAGTCTGTCGGTTAAGTGATCTGGCGCGAGACTGGTAGATCCTGGGTTCGAATCTCGCGAGGTGAGATCGTTGATACACACTGCAGAGGAGTCCAACAATAAGATGAAACGGCTGTCCAGTACTACCAGGCTTCTCTTGGCGGTCTAGCTTCAATTGACTTATGATTTAAACTATGAAAATTACTGAAATCTCCACAAAACCCCTTCCGATTTATCATATATATTCATTTTTACCTATTTGATGGAGTTTTATTCTCTGAGATAGATGATTTGGTCATGGAGCTTTGATTGTTATTGTGAACGACATCATCAGCACAAACTTCATGTAGAAGTGAAGTGCTTGATTTTCTCCACATATGGCTCACGGCTTATCCTGTAGTCATCGATGTTGATTGGTTATTGTTTACACCAGAGAATTTTTAAAAACTTTGAACTCAGATTAATCAGCAATCGACAAACATATTGAAATCTATCCAAATTATCAGTCAGTCAAAGAAATTATGACAAATATGGGACGGAAAATCAAATCAACTGAAGATACAATCAATGACAGGTTAAAGGTTAACAATTACCAATCAACGTCGAGATCAGCGGGACAAGCTATGAGCCATATGAGGAGAACTCCGAACACTTCACTTCTACATGAAGTTTGTGCCGCAAATGTCGTTCAGAATAATAATGAAAGTTCTATGAGCAAACCATCCAGCTTAGAGAACAAAACTTCATCAAAATCATCTATCTAATGTACAAATCGTCTCCACCATGTATTTACCTGGAAAAACAATAATATTTTTAGTTTATATATATTCTAAATCTATATTGATTTGACAATGAGATGTATAAAATAGTGTACTGGAATATTTATACTAATAAGAGAGAAAATTTATTATTTTCATTTGAATTCGGTTATTTTTAAGGTATTATGGTTTTAATGAGTTTGATATTTCTTAATGGTTAAACATTATCTAAAGTATAGTTGGTAGCTAATTGCCGGAGGTTATAACTATTTTGGTTTAGGAAACCGAATAACATACACAAATGTGTACTGAATTATTGTGTGACATTACCGTTGTTCGTGCATACTATTAGAAAATGATCATTTTATTTTCATAAGGAAGATATAAGGTTTGTTTGCTTGTATAGAATAAATAACAAAATATTTCTAAGGAACAGTCTAAAATTCAAATGTTAAATAAAAGGTGGTTAACCTATTGCAGTTGTATATATATGTATATATTTAAGGACTTGAAAAAGATATCTCTTCCAAGTGTATATACTGTTAAACTATAGTAAACTATTCTGGAATCTAGATCAACTGAAGTCCTGGATAGAAATAACGATAAATCATAAACCTCAATTAATACGTTCATAACTTTTGAACAAGTTGTAGTTAGCTAAACTCGGTAGCTGCATGAATAACGCCGTTTAACGTTTGGAATAAAAAGTCCTATGGTTGAGTTCTCTTGCAAACAATAACACTTAGTAAGAAGATAACCATTAAACGCTGTCTAAGTAATGTTACATATGTGTCATTTGTCTTAATGCACTAATGTCTTATAAACTGTATTTGCTTGTTGCTTGCTAATTTCCAGAGGTTTATTGAGCAAGTATTAGTGAAATAAAAGACTTGTTTGAAAGATTTCACAGAAATTGTTATATATTTGGTTGATATATATGGGCTGAAGCTTTAGATTTTATCCTAAACATGACGGATGCAATCTAAAGTGTAATATCATTGAAATTATGATTTGTACTTCGAACGTTATGAGATTGTATGATACTAAACAATGCACAGGATATTTGAACATAAACAGATACATGGATTAAAATTTAAATAAAAATAAGTTTGTACACGGTTAATTACGTACAAATCATAATATTTGTTGAGATACCACACTGTATCGAAAGTTAGTTACCAGAGCACATATAGTGTATTCGATTTACAAATGGTATACAGATATTTGTTCAAGTCAAATGAGTTATTTTCTCAATGTGGTGATAGCTAATTGATTAGATTATAAAACTTATGATTCACGAAAATTTCTGATGAAAGAATATGATATTTTTATCATAGCCTAGGGGTCATCTGGGACAATATTGATAAATTAAATTGATTGATTAGTGCATTAAACTTTTGTTTGGTAGATAATTTTGAATCACTATTTCTGTAAATATGAAGACTATTTTTAAGGTCAAATAATAATAAAAGAAAGTATTTGTTAACTTTATTTGTGTGGTTATGTTATGTGAATTAATAGTATAATTTGCATTTCCATCCTATTTAAAGCCTTACACTTTTTATTCAATTACTGAATACTTCTGAAAAAATTATTGTCCGACATTACACATAGATAAAAATAAAAGACCTTTACTTTTTCTACACATGTTATGCACATTTCTTAGGACATATACCTTGAGTTATTGATGGTGATGATGTTTTTAAATATCATCTTCATACGCTTAAAGATTTTATCGTGATTCAAACAATTTACGTTTTGTGTCAGTGCTGCACTTTCAAATGGAACACTAGTAGTTTTAATTGAGACATAAATTAATTTGCATTTTTTGGCCCAGAAGAACCAAATAATACATTATAGGCAAAGATGGATAGTGGCTAGCAGTGAGATCCATGACGCGCGTTGATCCTATTCCGGACTCTTCAGCTGGATGTACATGCATCTCAAAGTTGGTGTTCATTCTGGGAATCGAACCCAGCGCTGTTAGCATTAAACACTGTTGTGTTATCTATTCAGCTACTGAGTCCTGACGAGTCCCAAATAGGACGAAACGCACGTCTTGGATTCCAATGCTAGCCACTATCCATCTTTGCTTATCATGCTTGTGAATTAAGGCAATATCAAGGCAATACGCACAGTATGCACATATGCCAATAAGAGACTGACCAGTTGCAGTCCTAAACATCAATGGAAAGATTCAAACAAACAATACCAAGTGAATTTCAACTGATACGTTATCTAACAGTTTTAAGAATGCCACCAGCGAATGTTTATTTTAAGAATTTGAATGAATATATCATCTTAATCAATGATGCAAAAAATTTGTTTTAAACAGTTATGATGTATATACCTAAATTTTTCATTATTACTTCATTATCAGTTCCTGTTGAATTCGAATAGTGTACTATTGTTATGAAATGTAATATGATTCATGTACTGTGAAACGAGCACATTTTAATTTAACATTAAGAATTACAGTAATTAACAATTGCAATTCGATTTTAACTCATTTGTGATCCCATATGACAACCAGAAACTGCTTTTCTAAAAGCAGTTAAGTATTTAAAAAAAGGTAAATAACCATGTCTCTTATGGTTTCTTTATTGATTAAAAAATAAAGGACGAAAATGCTTTTATCGTTAATGTCATTTTATTTTGTCCTCAGTAATAATATATATCAAATGTAGTTATATACTAAAATGTAATTCACATTGAAAAAACAAAGAGTATACATGTTTTGGATAGATTTGTAAATGAGTAAATAAATGATTATTGATTATTTTTAATGTTATTGTTGCAAATAAAAGCATCAAATAATTTATGTGGTATAAACTAAATTATATAATGCACTTTTAATGTTCTGGTTAGCGTTTTTTAGCGATTTGGTTTTCTACGAGATGGGGTCGCCAACCTCATACCCAACCCTCCTACTTTACCCGGGCTTGGGACCAGCAGTAGCCCCCGGAGGAGCTACATGCGAAGGATGGAAGGCCCAGGATAGAGTGGGTTGGAGAATACTGGTCAGCGGCCTATGCTCCATTGGGAGTAACAGGCGTAAGTAAGTAAGTACTTTCGGTATTCATATATAATTAACATTGTTGAACTATGATCTCATATCTAACAGATTGGGTCGAGGATGATTGACTTTTTTAAAATTTAATAACAATGGTTTAAAGCTCAACTATTAATCTAACTGATGGTATAGACTTGCTTATCTATTCACTATCAATTAAATTGGTATCTGTTATTGTCTGGTAGTCATTTAAGATTTGTAGAAATATACACTGGATTGATATGTTTTGTTAAAGATTTAAAAGAACTTATTTTGTTCGGCTAATAATTGCTAACTGGGTCTTTAATTTCTGACAAACGTATAATCATACATATCTGACCATATGAATTACATGTTATCTGTTTCTTAACTATTGACGCATTTATAAAATAGTATTGTAAAAGAATAGGGAATCATCGAATCGTTTAGTAAATGAGTCTTATGTGTCAAGACAATCTAAAATAACAAAAAGGATTAGGTTTATAAAGAAACCATCATTATTGATACATATTAGTCACTATATATCACGTATATTATTGATTTAAATCACTGGATAGACATATTTGCCTACATTTACTTGACTAAGTCAATCTCATGGAAGTTTTAAAAAACTTTATTAATGATTAGAAATTATAATTTCTGTTTTTAAAGCAATCGAATATACCGTGATACTGTGATTGTTTTATGATGTATGGAAAGAAAACCGTGTTAATCAAGTATACATTAGTCGATTCCCCAAAGGACTTTCAATTTTTGACGAATTGAGGTGGTTAGGTACAGAATTGACAATGAGAGCTTAGTAATTAATATTCAAGTTGTCAACTATTTTTAAATCCAACGTTCACCATTAATTTCAGCCATCTTAATAAGTCGATTATCTTTTCTCAAGAAACGATTCAAAGCTGTATTCATAATTAAAAATTGGTACATGACCGATATAATAATTTATTATAACATTTAAGGATGAGGTAAGTTGACTTACTTAATCTTTTCCGACTGTAATTGATTCTAGAGGCTGATTCTGTATAACGAAAAGTTATGGAAATAAAAATGGAATTAAAAATACCAAATCTTTTTATATTTAGCATAACAATGAAAATTCAAATCAATTTTATATCTGATTATTCTAGATTTCCTTAGCAATAATCGTTTTGTTTATTTTCTTTATTTTATAAAATAAACGTGATGATGTATAAAGTTTGACTTTAGCTAATCAGTGATAAAAGCTGTAACTTGATTTAAATGATCTAAATTCGTTTTCTTCATGTGAATTGAATTCTATATCTGTTTAATTTAGTATAGTCGGCGACCTATGCTCCATTGGGAGTAACAGGCGTAAGTATGTAAGTTAGTTTATTATAGTTATGCTCATCCAAAATGTTACTCATTGATTTAAGCTAACTAGAATTACTTCATTAGTAAATTAGACATACATATATCATTACTACAAGTAAATATAGAGATATGAAGTTTAATGAAACATTTGGGACAAATTATCATTAAATAAAATAATTTAACTTGTCAAACTGATAACTTTTGAGATACTTTGTTTCATAATTAAATTGCTTAATAAAATTTTAAAGTCGACTTAAAATGATTTGAATTATCTAGATGTTAATATTTTAATCCCAAGTTAATCAGTATTACTGAGACGAAACTCGCGCCCTGGGTCCCACTGATATGTATATTCCATTTATTCTATATCGACTTGAATCATATTTTCCATTTCAGGGCGATCCGTACAGGATATATATATATATATATATATATATATATATATATATATATCAACCAAAATTGTTCAAATTTTGGTAATAAACAATAACAATTGGATAATATAGACAATATCAAATTTAATTGAACCACATATTGGTTACATGAGTGAGAGTCTACCTGGAATCAGTAGGTGAGTAAATAATCCGATATTGTGGCGTGGAATCTGAGATGTAAGTACATCGATTTGACGAGTACCAAATAGTAAGAAATATGCATCCTGGATTTCACTTCCAGACACATCCCATCTATTCTTTTTAAAATACTTAGGTTAATGCTACTACTTCTAGAGTAAATATTGATGGAACTTAATGGAGTGCATCTATTTACTGGTTGCCATGTATTAAGGTCTACATAATCTTACTCTTTGATCTTGCCGTGAAATACCATTGTAATATCATTTAAAAATTAGTTATGATGTATAAACGCAAACTTATTGTTGACAAGATGTCGTTTTTAAATAAAATTAAAAAGATCCACGCAAATGGGTGAATTATTCCAAAGGGATTTAGCTACTCCTACGTATGCTATTGTACAGAATAGTATTTTACTTTTATAAGCTTTACTGTAATTTACTTCAGTATATGCATTCTTCTTAACTCAAGAGACCAGAAGTTATAGCTTCTTAACTTTCCATATCTATTTAGCACTGAATGAAGGTATTCGTAAATAAAAATTGTTAATTTTGTTACCGAAAATGATGTTTGTATGATTTTAAATTGATTTCCAGTGTATCGGAAATTCAACTGACGACTAAAACATTTACAAATGGTAAAATATTTACGGTAACTGTATGTAGTAACACGGATCATAAAAACAAGGCTGATGTGCGAAATCGTTTGTAGGATATGAATTCGTTAAATGATACATCATTAGTCATTTTATCCAATTCTACTCAATGCGAACTCACTAACCAATAGATGCATGTTATAATGAACTCTTGTAACTCAGCAAAATAAAATGGAGTTTAATATTAAAGACAAAACATGACTTTTAACACTAAAAATTTTTACTCTTTGGTATTTATTGCTCAAATCATATATAACTTTGAGAGTGACACCATACAGTTTTAGCTGGCTCTGGGTAGTATCTTATTTAGGACTTTTCATCAGTGCCTGTCGAAATAAATACTTAAATTCAAAACCGTTTTACGAAAGCCTGTTCTGGATTATCAAAACAGCTGAGAACGCTGTTAGTGCAGTAAAATTCTCTGTGCTGGATGATTAAATATTGTAGTTTTGATTCTTCTTCTGGACGACATTAATAACACAAATTTCAGTTAGTAATGAGCTATTTGAATCGCTCCATAGATGGTCAAAGGCTTGTTTTGTCAACATTAATATTGTTGGAAACACAAATCTATGGAAATAATCCTTCTCAGCTATAGATGTTCACTAGCTGAAACTGTTCCTAGCTCAGACATTTATTAGTTATCATTCTGTATGCTAAAAAATTTACAGTCGTTTTAAATGACTGAATATTAGTATTGCTCCCGGCAAGCAAGAGAAAAAATAATTGTGACTATAATAAAAGACTGAAATATCCTTGGATCAATCGGCAGGTATATTTCTGTCAATCACTTTTTAGGGCATCTTAAATATCTTGAAATTAAAATGTTCAGTAAACTGTAACGATACAAACCTGTTTTATTTCAAAAGGTCAACATTAAGTTGGTTAACATTTCTCAAACTAAGGATTAAATGACAAATATGTGATGCTATGTTGTATCCCGTGGTGAATTATGAATGGTAACTCTGAGGACTATTTATGGACTAATCTAATATGTATATTTCATATTGTATAATTGTTAAGTAACTAAGTTATTCATATTCGTGTTCCTCTTATCATAAGCGTTATTTTGACCTTTGAACTATTATTATACGATTCTTGAGTTATCATCAGTCTATTGATTACCTTCCCCCTATTAATAGCCACATTTGACCAATTATTGTACAAATGTTATTCTTCTATTTTTATGGTACGATGTGGTCTGTTTGGTTGGTATATAAACCCAGTATGTTTGTGAATAATGATTCATATTGCCGAGGCTGTTATTGGTGTTCTGGACTTAACTGGCTGGGCTAGGCAAATAGCAGGACTGATAAGTAATCAAGACTGCTAGTACGATTTTATGTATCATTGCTCTGATCGATAATTAGTTCTTCTCTCATTGGCGGAGAATCACCACATTCATATATTAAACAGGATATGCACTCAAGCAATCGTTATAACATGCTCTAATAGTAAAACAGTTTTAATTACATACTTGACACATATTTGAGCATTTAATTATAATTACAATCTATGTAAAACAGAAACAAGTCTATTCATTCTTCGATGTAAAATACTAAATCAAAATACCAACGTGTTTGATGTTTATTATGTATATTCATGTCATTTTTATTTGTCAGATGAATTGTACAGATTGAGTGCAATACGAAATACTGGTTAGATAATTATTAAGCTAGTCTGTACCAGCCTTTGATCTTCACGTTGTTAAAATTAAATAATCATATGTTCTCAAACGGTATCGTCTAAAGTTTGTACTTTGTTCAAGTTTCTCATGCAAAGACATCTTCATTCAATAAGTCATTTTGTATTTTCTTAGAACTACAACGAATAGAAATATATCAATCACTTAAAAATGTCTATCTCTAACACATTTATTTTACACTTCAGAACAAGTATTTTGTACTAAGATATGTCTATCACAAACAGGACTATTATTGTGACGATGAATTGCCAATTATAAGTGCAGATCACAAACAAAATTCTTTTCATCTCAGTCATATTTTCATATATACTGTGCCAGTAATTTTAAAAGTTCGCTCATAGTTTCTGGACTTTTTTCAATAATAAATATATTATTAGTATGGGGTTCTGGAGATTGTTGAGTTTTTTTATTGAGACCAAGAATAGATGAATGGTAGGCCACTATTAAAAACCTGGAAGTATTGAACGCCGTTCCGTCTGGGACTCCTCAGCAATGTGAATCCACCACCCCGCACTCGAGGTTTGAGCCCAGGGGCTTCGGTCTCGCACGCAAATGCTTAACCTCTGGACCATTGAACCATCATCTAACGGTGTTAATGTCTAGCTGAACACTGCTGAGGAGTTACATACTAGTACGGAACGGCCGTTCAATACTTTCAGGTTTTCAATAGTGGTCTAACATTCATCGATTTATGATCTCTATCAAAAAATAAACTTAATTTTTCTGACAGTAAAGGTTCATAAAGATCTCCTAAAAATTCTAACCATGAAATAATAATGTAAACTAAGATTATTTTCAAGTGCTTATAATTTTAAGGGCAAGTTGATCAGCATAATTATTAAGAATTGATAGCACTAAGCCATCATTTTCAATAAGCAATAATTATAAACAATTATATTAAAGAAGAATATGAGAAATTGTTTAGCTAAAAACTATACATCATTAGAAAACTATCTCATCCATATTGAATTCATTAACTAATCGTCTAATTACAAAGACTTGTAACAGTTTACGAATTAAAAAATATGCCTATTGATGTACATTTATTCAAATTTATTGATTTTAACAGTAAAAAAAAGTACAACATAACTTACCATTTACAATTACATGATAACTGATCATTTGTGATGTTCTTCCCATAAGCATACATGTATAAATATCTGAATCTTTTGGTGTTATAAAATCAATAATTAAATCCCATCGACGACGTTTCCAATTATTTCTAATATCATATTTATTTAAATAATTTTGATAAAATAATTGATTATCTTTTAATATAAATCTTTCATTATAATCTTTAGAATGTTTTGTTTTAATATTATAAGGATAAGTTTCATTATGGAAGTAATTTTCATCACTGATATTTAAACGAAATCTAGAATCTTGCATAAAACTAACTGTAGATACAAATAAAGGATTTTGTCCTTTCTCCCAAATAATTGTCTATATAAATAGAAAGTGAAATATTATAAATAAATTAATTCTATCAATGTAAAGTGTAATACATAGTAAAACAGTTTAACTAGTTTCAAGTGAGTAATATATTTTTAAAAAAAAACTAAAATAAAATGCTTAGGTAAATGGATAAGATGACTAACTTAAAATCAAAGTTGTGGATGCCATTTTGTAAGGGTTCTTTGAGAGAGTGTATGAAAAGAGAATTATGATCACGTTTATTTTGAAATACATTATTGAGTTTAATTGATTATTGAAAGCGGTCGGCTTTACAAGCAAGATGTACTTTGAACTTTTTAATTATTTAGGTATTGTTCATTGGACTAACAGATTGTAATGAATATATTAACCTACATTTTAAATTAAGCGTTTGTTGTAACGTTAGATGTGGAACTGTCAGAAATTCAAAACATCAAAGCAGTTTTCCATTCTACTTAGAATTTTTTTTCGGTATGTTCATACAGTTCTACAATGGATCATTTTGAGGATCTTTAAATATTTCAGCTCTAGTGATACATAACCAAAAATTCAGTAGAATCATACTGATCGGAATTTCAAAATCAATTGTTCTTCAATATATATTTTGCATATATTAGGTTATTCTAAGGTTGTGGTGTGGTCTACTTATATCCATATAAGTAGTATATGGTGTTGGTCAGACATAAAATGTATTTTCGCAGAAGACCGATGAGGAAAGAACTGAAACAAAGCGCAATCGGTAGGAAAATGCACGAACAATGAAATTAGAGAAGAAACAGTGAAGTTTGAGACTATTGGTTGCTAATTTGCTAATTGAATGTCCATTGCGTGGTTTTCAGAATTTACTGAGATAGTCTGTAATGTTTGCATAATTACATTCGGTTGTCCCCAACCAGTGTTTTGTTCACTACAAAGTGTGTGGAATTTCTATACTCTTGGTTATTTATTTACATTTATCATGACATCATCCTAAGATTCAACAAAACCTGTATGCTTTTAAGTGGATAAATAATACAATAGTGTTAAGAGATATAAATGTAAATCGACGCCGTTAGTTTATTTATTAAAATAGATATATATCGAAAAGAGCCATAATTCTACTGTAAAATGACGACTTATTTTGAGTTTCCTATCATAAAACTCGATAAACCTATTTTCGATATAATATTTAATGCTAGCTATTGACAATAGACGCATTTTTACTTTATCAGGAATAAATCTCATTTCATATTAGAAAACCTTGATAATTCTGGTAAAAGTTATCCAAGAATACTCAAAATGCTTTTACTCTGAAAATAATTTATTATGAAAGAAATTTGAAATAAAGTAGACCACTTAAAAACTTAAAATGATGTACTCACTTAAATTTTACATGCCAATTAAAAGTTATTTAGTGAATTTCTAAATATTTCACATAAGAATCCTACTCTTTTTATATAAATGTAAAATGATAAGAAACTCTCATTGAATCTTATTATTACGTAATAATTTTTTTGTGTGTAAAGCGATGTATAGATGAGAGTGATTAAGTCGATAGACTATTGAGTTTTAACTGCTGAATAAATAAAACGTTTTCAAAAGTTTTTTTTTATGGCTACTGTTTCATATCAAAATTTTATTGGCAAAGATACATTAATTGGATCTTCACTATTCAGATCAATATTCAAGAATACATATATCCTTTTTTAATTCATTCTACAAACATTAAACATTCATTTTGACCGGTAAAAGTTATTACATAAATTGCAAAAAAACTTATACTTACATATATATTAGTAAATGAAATACATTGAATAGTGTTTTTTTCTTTAAAAAAGATTTAAGCAAAATAGAGGAAAATTAGGGATGGTGGTGAGGAAAAAAATGACAAAAATTACAGAAAATAAATTCCTACTGTGTAAAATCAATTTTCTCGAGTTACATAAGGTATGAAAAGTTAGATATATCAAAATATTAGCCAATAAAGTGATCTTATTTAATGAAGATGCTGCTGGCATACGAAATCTGATTAAAATACGTTTTAAAAATGATTCTATTGTTGATATTCCTACTGAAATGTCATCAGACTTAGTTGGTATGTGTGCATTCTGCGTGGATTGCCTCGATATAACTAACGAGATATAAGAACATATAGAATAGATGGTTAAGACGCAGGTGCATCCATGTTGACAAATCTCAAATATGATGAAACGTGTGCCCGAGATTGCATCAGTATCCATATTCCATTTGTTCTATTTCAACTTGAGTCATATTTACTATTTCAAGATAATCCGTACAGGAGATATATATATCAACCAAGATTGATCAAATTTTAGTCATAAACATCAACAACTGTATAGTGTAGACAATTTCAAATTAAATTTAATCTCATAATGGTTACATGAGTGAGAGTGTAGTTGGACTTAGTAGGTGAGTAAATAATACGATGGTGAAGGCATTGATAATTGATTGTTTAATTTCGTGGATTGGTTGACATTAACACTGTTGGACGCCGGCAAGCTCAGTGGTCTAGAGGTTAAGCTATCTGACAGTTCCTGGGTTCGAATCTCGAGAGGTGGGATAGTGGATGCGCACTGCTGAGGAGTCCCATAATGGGACGAAAGGGCCGTCCAGTGCTTCCAGATTTTCTATAGTGGTTTAGCTTCAATTGACTTATGATGTCAACTACATAAAATTACTGAGATCTCCACAAAGCCCCTTTCTGATAATTATTTAAACTATTAATTATTATATTTAGTAGCTAATCATCTGTATTCTTTGATAGTTTCTGTGTATTTGACAGAAGATATATTGCCTAATATTTTTTAGTTCACTGTATTTCCATTATCAATATATATTTTGAATGTTTGCTTAAAAACATTGTTAAAAAAAGTTTAACTTATCATAAAATATTCATTTATTCGAATTTCGTATGAACAGAAAGTATAAACAGAAAGGGAATTTGTGGAGATTTCAGTATATTTCAAAGTTGAAATCATGAGTCATTTGAAGCTAGACCACCATCGAAAACCTGGAAGCACTGGACGGCCGTTTCATCCTATTATGGGACTCCTCAGCAGTGCGCACCCACGATCCCACACTCGCGAGATTCGAACCCAGGACCTACCATTTACGAGCCAGAGCCCTTAACCGATAGACTACTGAGTCGGCATCCAACAGTGTTAATGTCTAACTTCAAATGATCCACGAATTATGAGCGACCATTCACCAATTACTGAGGAGTCCCATAATAGGACGAAACGGCCGTCCAGTGCTTCCAGGTTTTCGATAGTGGTCTGGCTTCAATTGACTCATGATTTCAACTTTGAAATACACCGAAATCTCTACAAATCCTCTTCTGATTATAATCATATGCTCACTAGTGACTGACTTCAAGTTACATGTCCTGGAGTTCTAGTGGGAAGCAGTGACCAGTGGAGTTCAACCACGTCTGTTATGAGATAACAACTCACTGAAGGCAATTGGTGAATGGTCGCTTATAATTCGTGGATCAGTCGAAGTTAGACATTAACACTGTTGGATGCCGGCTCCGTAGTCTATCGGTTAAGGGCTCTGGCTCGTAAATGGTAGGTCCTGGGTTCGAATCTCGCTCGCGAGAGCAGGTTCGTGGATGCGCACTGCTGAGGAGTGCCATAATAGGACGAAATGGCCGTCCAGTGTTTCCAGGTTTTCCATGGTGGTCTAGCTTCAAATGACTCATGATTTCAACTTTGAAAGAAAGCATGAAATTAGAAAACAATATTATTAAGCATAAGATTATTACCTTTGTGTTTATAACTATCCTATTTGAATAATATATGATCATTATCAACTAATGTGAGGATGAAACAATTACGTATGCAACTACACTTAGAATTTTGAGAACAAGTACTGATTATCAATATCTTTACAAAATCTCAAATGTTTCTCACTAATTAATTGAAATGTTTTTACTTATATTTAAAATAATTGAGTTCATGTGTCAATTACAGCTAGACCACCATGAAAAAACCTGTAAGCACTGAATAGACGTTTTCTATGGCGGTCTAGGCTTTAATTAACTCATGAATTCAACTATTAAATCACTACGATCTTTACAAAACCTCCCTTCTTATATTTTAAAATCAATTAATATATATACAAAGTAAAAATTAAATTACGGTGAACAAGTTAAGCAATATCACTACTAAAACTTTTTTTCTCACAACATGATAAAGTATCAAAAATTGTATTCATTACCATGAACAATCTAAACAGGTGATGTTAACATAATCAATTGTTTAATTTATTTGACCTGATATTATAATCTTTTGTTATAAGATATACTAACTTTTCTTAAATAGATTAATTTCATTGAAAACATGTTTTTCGTAAAATATGGACGAAACGGTTTTCCAGTGCTTCCAGGTTTTCCATGGTGATCTAACTTTAATTGACACATGATCTCAACTATTGAAATTATTATCATATCCACAAAACCCTTTCTGATATTATTTTGATTATTTAATTCATACTGTTATGGAGTAAATTTTTATTGTAATAAATCAATATCATGAACTTTCATTATAAAATTGAGGACAATTATTGTTCACCTATGTAATCATATATTGTTACTTAGTAACCTAAGGAGATGATTGACTGGATAAATTAAGAAAAAAATAAGTATAATATATATTAATTATAACTATTAAACAAACACCAATCATGAGAATATAATTTGTCTTTTATATATGTTTATTGTGAAATCTAAACATTCACTATATGCTGTGTTTCGATAGAATGAAAGGTGTTTATACGTTATACTGAATGATGAAGTTCATATTTGGCTTTTAATGAAAACTTATTGACTGTTTATTTGTTATTATTTAAAGGGATCATTTTAAAAGCCAAGATTTGATGAAGGTTTTGACTTGTAACGGGTGATTTGATACATTATAAAAGTGGTAAATCCATAGTGTAATAAAGACCTGATATGACAATAAACATCAAATGGCTGTATTGCTTCAGCATGTGACAACAGAGCAGTACTT